ACATCTATCAGTTTGATTCTTTGCCTCACACACTCTTCAGTATAATTGTGCCAAGGATCATTTATTTTGGGAACAAAAACTTATGATGAAATTAATTCAACACTCTAAAGGTTACAAAGACAAAACTATTTCCTCAATGGACTCCCTTTATGTGTGAGAATCATTCAGTAGACATTAAAGTAGGAATTAAATGGGGGTTGGGGGGGTCCTGTTTTTAGTAGCTTAAGTTGCCCCAAAGTAAATCCAATTCTGTACAAATGTGCAAACCACTACTAATGAACTGATGGAGCACTAAGAATATATTCTGCTATTAAGAATTCTTAAATTTCATTACAAGAGAACTATTTTTAGGTATTACCAGCCTTACTTCTCCGAGGCAAAATTTGGTGTCCTTTCTTTTATTTTAAAAGTATTTTTCATGACCTGTAACATCTCCAATCCTTACTTTTACAGAATATAGTGGGCCTTTCATGATCTGACCTGTACCCCTCTCTTCTGAAATCATTTAAAGGTCTTAAATTTAAGGCTGCTCCCTTCTACTGGTCTCATAAAATGATTTGGAATTTAACAACTCTCATGCAGAAACTTCACTTAATTTACCAGATCTACAAATTCCATTTCACTAGTAGGACTGGTTTATGTCATGTTTTTCATTCCTAGAGAAACCCATAACTTGGAGCTACATGCTCCAGGGTACCATGGTTTCTAGTCATTCTCAAGAGCAACCTTCAGCTTCTACAAACAATTACACATCCATCAAAAGTCTGCTGTATGTTTTTAAAACTATTCCAATTAAGTGTTAATGAAGTTATGAAATGACGTGGAAAAAAGTGGAAAAGGTCTCAATCTCCTATGAAAAACAGGTAAACGGACATGTTTTAATTTAAAATTAATTTTAAAGCCAAAAATGATCACATACTTTAACTTTTTCAATTAACCAACTGGGAAGCTTGAGGTGCTATGAGAATCTCTTTGAATGATAAAATGCTGCTCATTAAACAAAGAATCAAAAGGTAAAAAGCTGTAAATTACTACAGCCCTAAAATGGCTTAGTCCCCACTTTCCTAATTCAAATATACATGCTAGGGCTAAAAAGAATGTCGTGGACAAATGAAAAAGAGCTAAATCATTTGTAGTATATAGATTCTTCTTGTATCTTGAGACTTTCTCAGGCTTTAAATTCTAATTGTAGTCATAAATCCTTTACTCTTTCTCTTATTAACTGTCTTCACAACTTACATCACTAAATATCTCCAGGTTATCTGCATCACTTTCAGTCAGGACCCAACTTTCTTGCTCTGTATTGTTTACTACACATCAGGTTGACCTGTTGCTCTTGATCCAGCTGTCATTTTTCTCCACACCAAACAAGGAACACCTACCTTTGTGTTCATTTTCCTTCTGTTTCCACCATTTCCACTCCATACAACTCAGTATTCCCAACTGTACAAAATATCTGAGTACCAACACTTATTGAAAGACTACATGGGAGGCACTGTGTCTAAACCACATGATCTTTGTACTTTAAAAGCAATGCATGACAAAGATATGTGAATATGGACTGTAACTAAAGTAGAAGATGGGTATAACAACATCATTTTCAGAGCTCTTCTGAAAAGCTTAGTCTGATGAACAAGCTGCCGCCTAGTGATTTTCAGCATTTAAAAACTAGCCCAATATAGCAGTTAAAAAAGCCCAAGGCACACACTGATTAGATTCAGAGTAGGGAAAGCTCAAAAAGTTGCCTGGTTTCCTGTCTGGTTCTTGGCTCTTTTTACAGTAGTGGCTGTTCCATGGGCTGGAGGCAAATCATGCTCAGCAACCACACCTTAAACTCCCAGGCAAATAAGATACAACTCAGTCACATTAGTCACATTAACTGAATCACTATTATAGTTACTCAATACTGTTGCCAACTGTTAACTAAGACATACAGTTTTATTGCTTTTTCTTCCAGGACTCCTGGAAGTAAAGAAAGCCATTATTTGCCTTTATCAGTGGCTTTCAAAACTTTAAACGAAACATTCCATAATCTGATAAGTGGCATTGACTCTCTGTCTCAGACACTTAATGGATCATTTAACTCTCATTCACATGGATTCTGTAAGAGACCCCTGTACTACTATATATTGCTCATCACTGCTCTTAAAACAGAACCCAAAATAAGGTAATCCAGCTTATATTACTGGATTCTCATTCTTCACAGCAATCCTGTGCAGTGGGTATTATTTCTATTTTATTGAGTTCAGTTTAGAAGTACTGAATGATTTCCACAATGTAAGACTGTGGTTTGACTTAAAAGTCTTGAGTTTTTTATACAATATATATCTTTCAGTTTGAGTCAGCGTTTCCCCCTCATTTTTGGTTTTCACTCCATTATTCTTGGGCAGACAAAAACTACCCAATTTAGACGACATCTTCCAGGTTTATGCAAAGTGCCAGGTATCCCTAGTGTGGAGTCCCTCCCAGTCACCAAGAGCCCATTTGTCCTAAGTATCTGGCAGGAAGGGCAAACTGCATTAGTTCAAATACTTCAATTTCAAACACACAAGAAAAACAGCCTCAAGTTCTTTTGCATGCAGCAAAGTCCATGTTGTGAAGATTACTCCAGTGACCACCCCCACAGTAATGATCTCCAACCAGCTCCTTCCTGCAAGCAGAGTCTGGTCTGAAGTGGTATAAACACCTGATAAATACATATAATCAAAGTGGGTTACTAAAGACATCTTTGGAAAAACCAAGAATTCCAGCCATTAGGCTTTTTTTTTTCTTTTTTCAGGAAGAAGGGTCAACCATGATGATGTAGGTGTCAAAATAACACAATCTGGTTTATCACTTATACTACCCACCAGGAACATTAATTCTGCAAAAATGTTACACTTGTTTTTCTCAAATCAAAAATACACACTTTTATCAAGTGTAGTAAATATTTTTTCTTTGAAATATCAGCTCTGCTTATACAGTATTTTACTAGAAACTTTATGCAAAATGTTTCTATGTCAACATGACCTCTAAAAAAATGTAGTAAGTGTACTTATAAAGGTATCAATAAACACTGAATATCCCCAGCCTCAAACAATGCTTTAGAAAATTAGCAGCACTGATGACCTAATTCTATGTACCATCCTCTTTCCCAAGATGACTTTCTATATTTTAAGAAATGCTTGAGTATCCATTACGTTTTGAACTGTGGAAAGGTAACAGAGAGCTTTACTCTCTAAACCATTTATGTGTTATACTTTTAAAAGTGAAAATTGCATTTACACTTTACTAGAAGCCACTGCTATTCCAAAGGAGGTAAACACGACTACTGATTCACATATACGGGCCCCTTTAATAAATCTTTAAAAAATGAGAGATCATTCTCATCTACTCTTTCTCTGAACAGTCTTTTTCTCCATAAACCAGAGTCAAAATTAAAAGTATTTTCCTAGAAAAATTCTCATAAGACTTTTAATACTACGTGGGAATTATGCAAATACCTACCTGGAGCAGTCAGTAAGCTTGTTAGTAGAAAGTAAATGTTATTATATCCCTTTTTATTTCTAAAACTGACTTGTTTTAAGGAAAATTATAACTTCTAATACCTTTTGAAGTCAAAATAAAATTAGTGTGTGTGGGGTGGGAGGACCAGATTCAAAACAACTTCATAACTAATAGAAAATACTAGTCAGTAAAGAAAGCAAAAAACAAACCAAAAGCCAACTAAATTTTATTATAGAAAAAAATATTTTATGGCTGGGCGTGGTGGTGCACACAGGCCAGCCTGGATTACACAGAGTTCAGGGCTAGCTTGAACTACATAGTTAGACCTGTCTCAAAATATAATTTACTTTTCAAATTTTAAATATTCTTAATTACCATAGCAAATCATAAGATACATATGCCAGCCTCAATAAAAGCACAATGTTCCTTTTTTCATGTTAGAAATAAACACTAAGTGTAAGCAATTACAACAAAAAATGCGCCCAAGATAAATATCACATAAGGCAGGGATTGTGAGGCTGTTTTTAGCAAGAATAAAAAATATCACTATTCTTTAAAGATGGCCTTAAGAAAATGTCCCACGTTATTATTTGCACCTGGATTTCCACACAATTGTACACAATTGTAGAATTAGGATGCTCCCTGTTTTTGCATACCAGAGCCCTGCATGCTGAAAACCAAGGTGTAACAGGAAGTCTTTCTGGGTAATTATTCTATAAAACCACTTCTAGTATTATTTCAAAAATTCCTAGCTCATTGAAAATGACTAGTATTCGTGCATATTACACACTAAGTGAACTGGATGGATTTTCTATTAGACTATTCTCAAAATTTTTCTGAAGACATTAGAAGACAAATTTTTAAGACATTAAAAATGAACCAAATGTTTTATTTTTTAAGCTTTTAGAGAAGCACGGGGTTTCAACACAGTGGGTATAACTACTTTAAATACTTCTGAACCTGGAACATCAAGTATATAACCTTTCACCATGGCTGTCAGCGTTCAAAGATGACTTTCAACATCTAAATGCAAGAGAAAGAAGTAACTGTGGAACCCAGCTTTCTACATAGCTGACTCATTGCATTAACATTACAGCAGCTAATCCAGAGAAAGGCCCTCCTGTCTACAAAGAGTCTCCTGTTACATTCTGTACATAAGATGTGTAAAATTCCCACACCCATACATGTACATTTAAGACAATCAGCTCTTGAATTACACCACGCAGCCTAACCTTAGTAACAACGGCAATATAATCGTTTGTTTCAACTAGTATAAAATATATTGTACCACAATCCATTTTTTTGCAAAACTATGTGAAATTTATCCCATTTATTTTATATAAGTTAACTACAACTGCTTCAGCATCTTTTAAACACCACTGCCCTGAAAACTTGTCTAAAACACTTGACTTTTTTTTAAAAGAAAAAGAAAAACCAAAGCAGGGAAAATTATAATAAAACTGATACTCATTATAGGACTTCGTTATAATAAAGCTCAACTTAATGATTCTCACCAGCACATCGTTGCAGATATCCCTTAGCTCAGTCTCAATTTTCTCTCTGTATTCTCGAGCCATCTGCTGCTTTTTCTCAGCACCTTCCGTCTTTTGCTCGATACTTGAGACAACCCTCCAAGATGACCTACGGGCTCCTACAACATTTTTATAAGCAACAGAGAGAAGATTCCTCTCCTCATTAGATAATTCAGCGCCTTGCTCAGTTACAGACTTCATGCAGGCTGCCATGTCATCGTATCGCTCAGCCTGCTCGGCCAGTTTGGCCTTCTGCACCAGCTCGTTTTTATCCATGCCTGGATATTCTGCAGGGAGAAAAAAGGAGTACTTAGAAATTCTTTCTCATTAAAATATACACATTCTATATCATGCTTGTGATCAATAACTATAAACACCTGATTACCTGTGAAAGATTCTTAAGAGAAAATGCAGCTTCATAAAAAGATGAAGTAGAAAAATTAATCATACTCAATAAAGTAGATGTAAAGTAAAATCGAGTTGCTTCATCTCTTTATAAGACCCTAAAAAGCACATCTGGGCAAATGGGCTACCTTAAAAAACCAGCTCCTACTTGTCCAAAATCTCAGCTTGATTCCAGTATCACTAAATGAGCTAAAATTAAGCAGCTTCTCACCATTCAGTATAAAAATGCCCACAAAAACCAGGACACTGGCCAGGGATTTAGCTCCACCGCCTGCCTTAGACGTGCAGAGGACTCGAGTTCAAGCCCCAGTACAAAAACAAACAAACAACAAAAAAAAAACACAAAACCCAAAAAACAGGATATTTCTATCATATTTCCAGAATTATGAGTCATGTCAATCTCGACAATGTTCACGACTTTTAACTTTCATCATAGTCTAGTCATTAAATTTTAATTGGTATTATCCTCACCCCAAAAATTTACATTTGCCAGCTTATTAGGGCATGAAAAATTTCTGGGGAAAGACCATCAAAGATCAGCATCTAACCCCCTTGTCTTGTCATATGCACATCAACTTAATACCGTTGAGCCCCAGAACTTGACTCTGTGACCACTACTAACATGTCACACTGGAAGCTTCATGTTTCGAAGTCACTGTGAGATCACACTGTATTTTGTTTCCACCGGTAGTAGTCACAATCTGAGCAGTACCCACGTCTTGTCACCTAATTCTCTTTCACTGTAAAGCTCCTTAGTCTTCCATGTACCTCCTCATTTTTCTTCAATTACCCCTTTGAAAGATGTTAACACAGAGAAAGATGCTACTAAACCATATATCGTGTTCACAAAAAGATTTGAGAGAAAAATACACAGCCTGAAACGCACTATTAGGCTACAAAGTGGATAGAACCACCATCCACTATGGGAATGGACTCCTTTTACCTTTTCAAGAGAAATCTCATTTTTTTTCCAACCAAATGAGAATCCCGCTATTTCAACAAGGAACGCACTAGGCTGAATTGTACTGTTCCAATGGGGGAACTATTCTGTAAATTAATTACCCCCCCACCCATCCCGGGAACTCAGAAACGTTCTCCGGCTAGCGTTAACTCTACTGAAAAATGAATTTCAAACCAGCACAAAGGTTTCCCTCCCCGGCACAAGGGGAAGTGGCCGGGGTTTCTCACGGGGTAGCAGGGCTGGAGGCCTCGCCTCCACACTGCGGAGCGGTTCGCCACACCCAGTTAACTCTCGGCGGGCCGCGGCGTCGCGAGACGAAGCGGAACCTCGCAGACCGTGACTTTCAAGTGCAAATCCTCCGTCCGCGCCATCCGCAGCCACCTCCCCTGCGAGGCTCCGCCCAGGCTGGTGCCTCCGCACCGTCCCCGACTCCTTTGTCATGGCGGATCGGCGTCGGGGAGCCCAGCCTACCGCCCCGCGCTCATCCCACCCCAACCGCTACGGGA